GTAAAGTAATAAAAACCATTAGCTAAATCAGGGGTCTGAGCCACACAGCCCAGGGCCTGTCTAGCCTTGTTTGGCTATATGATGCTAAGTATCTGAGATAACGGTTCTTCCCAATGTATGTCCCACATTGAGATTCCATGGTAAGACTGCCAGCTGCTTTCCCACCAGCATGCTCTCCCTGTTCCTTGGTGATACACCCGATTAGCTGTACCCACTGCACCCAAAACAAAATCCTCCATCTCCCAGCCTCTCCTGTACTAGCCATGGCTATGTGATTTCATTCTGACCAAATAATGCAAGCAGATGTGTTATGCTGGACTTCTGAGAGATTCATGGGAGACAACTTCTGTGCTTCTGCTTTCCTCCTCCTCCAGGCTTGTGACTTAGATCAAATAATAGCATCCTGAACTATAAGGCGACCCCTGAGGATACTAGCCATGTGCTGGGATAATGGAATGAAAAATAGGAGCCTGGGTCCCTGAGGACACTGCGCAGATGCCCTAAAACCCCCCAGACTTCCTTTCAAAGACAAATGAAGGCATACCTTGTTTTGGCTAATGTTACCTTGTTTTGTTCTTTTTAGGTTATGTACGGTCAAGCCTAAGCTTCCTGACGATTATATATCAACATAGGATGCTGCCCTGACCAGTTTGGCTCAGTGGATAGAGCGTCGGCCTGCAGACTCAAGGGTCCCGGGTTCGATTCCAGTCAAAGGCATGTACCTTGGTTGTGGGCACATCCCCAGTGGGGGTGTGCAGGAAGCAGCTGATCAATGTTTCTCTCTCATCGATGTTTCTGAATCTCTATCCCTCTCCCTCTCTGTAAAAAATCAATAAAATATATTTTTAAAAAAAACAAAAAACATAGGATGCTATATGCTATTCACATTTCACTGCCACTAAACAGCTTATACTTTTTAATGTAGGTGATCAGGATGATATAACATTTTAATAAATCACTTTTTTGCCCAGCTGGTGTGGTTCAGTGGTTGAGAGTTGACCCATGAGCCAGGAGGTCACTGTTTGATTCCTGGTCGGGGCACGTGCCCCTGTTGCAGGCTTGATCTCCAGTTGGGAGCATACAGGGAGCAGCCCATCAATCATTCTCTCTGACCATTGATGTTTCTATCTTTCTCCATTTCCCTTCCTCTCTCTGAAATCAATAAAAATATATTTTAAGAAATCACTTTTTTGCTGAACCTTTTGTAATAGATGTTTATCATCAATTACTTGTTTTTTCCCCAACAAAGACATTCTCAATATATACATATTCTTTTCTCTAGAGGTTCAAAGTCAACTAATACATATAATTTGCAGAATTCTGCCCTCACATGACAGTGACCCAAATCTAACTCTCTGGAACCCTTAATGAAAACCAAGGAAGACAGGCCAATATCCCCAGGTCTGCAAAGTACAAAGAAGTTGTGACTCTCCAACTAAAGACAAAGAAGTGGCATAACATTTTAAAAACGATTTCCAAGTCATGTACACACAGAAATGAAGTAAGAACAGTGTCCTGAAGCCTCCTGTTGGATATGCTGTATACGATCCCAGGCAAACAGCCAAGGAGGTAAATGCCAAGAAGGTGCCCCACCTCACCTGTGAGATTTATGGGGGCATCAACATCAACACCAACCATGCAGAACAATGAACCTTACACACTTCTGGACATCAATTATCTCCTGCCACAATACACTGCACCGAAGGCCCCCCCCCCTTGGCAATCCTTGTGGTGAGCCGGCACAGCCATGGCATACTCAGCCCCACACAGGGCACCTTATGTGCCGTGCCAGCTCAGCCAGGTTCAGTGACCCTGAGAGGGGGCAGTGAGGATGGAGAAAAGACAGCAAGAGAATGAAGCTGAGTATGGGTGGGACGCTCTCCTCTCTGATGGAGAGCTAGCGACAGCGCCACGGACTACAAGCCATGTCTCTTTATTTTATAGCCAGATTCCACGAGGCAAAGTAAGGGCGTGGTCAAGATGTTTACAACATTCTCGTGGGTTTTGATCCTACTCAATTACCTGCACCTGAACTCTATCAAGCCCACATCACTCAGACACATGGGGCCATGTGTTCGGACCATAGGTTCACGCTCACAGCCACAGCTGTTGGCTATAATTGTGCTGGGAGGCCCTGGCCTCCCAAACTGAAATTAG